GCTTTGGCCAAACTCTGGAGCTTAATCTTACTTTTTCAGAAGGCGGCAGAGAAAAATATAACGCTGCATTTACAGTTATCTCACTCCTAAACACCTGAATAATTCAAAATGAACTCTTAAAACAGACTGTTTTCAAACCTGTGAGCGTAATGCTTAAAATCAAATGAAACTAGTTCCTGAGCACAGGAGACCAAGGAACGGGCCAGAGAGGAAAAACAGTCAACGTGAAATCTTATACGCACTGACCATCCAGAAAGTGACAGTGTGCAGTAGAAAAATACACGAACTTTCCGATCCTCTGTAAGTTTATCACCAAGCAGGAAAGCAACAGCGTTAAATAAGAAAAAACGTACATCGTAGGCATAATGAGGTACTTGCTCATCGCCTTCCTGCCCCCACTGCGCATACGTATCATACGAGGGATTTAAGCTGGAAATTCACAACAATAATAACGCACTTGAACAAATGACGCATCTACACCAAACAAGTGCTGGGTGCAGATACATTCCAAAAATATCACTGTCACTGAATCCCCAAATAGAAGACTGTTTAAGTGGTCCTTCTAATCTTAACAAATTTTTATGTTTTTCTACTGAGCTCCAAATCGACGTGATTACATGTGAATTAGAGCCCAGTAGAAAAATCAATGCAAATTAATCACAAACAAAACTCAGGCTAGAACGCACCAGACCTGCCGATGCGATCATGCGTTTTTGCGCTAAACTAAGAGATCGCTAACGGCAGGAATGATCTCTACGTGGTAGTTTAACACTTGGACACATATTGGCTGTGTTTGGGCCTCTTTCCGCATGCAGAGGGAAGGGGCGTCGAATGGGATGAAGGTGTTGCACTATAGAGTCGCATGGACTTGCAGCGTACATGATTACCAATTTTTTGCATGACGCCTCGCTTTTTTTCCAGTAAATGCTTGTCCACTGAAAAGAATGCAAATTTGGAGAAAGTTGAAAGAGGCTTATGAAATCTGCAAAACACACTCGCTTCTAAGTTTACAACAGATCTCCGTATTTCTCACACCCACCTGCAGGTAATTTCATCTCTAAACTGAGTTACGACCACACACGAATGAAGAATATTCCAGCGAAGTTTCAGCCTCGCAGCTTCTCCGGTAAGCGAAATAACCATTTCGCCACAAATATCATTGAAATGCCCTGAGTCGTGGCGCAAGTGTCTATCGGCTTAGGGCACTTCAAACTCAATTCAAGTATACGATTTCCCGTATGAACGATATACTGTTTTCCTGCTAGTTTTCGAGTTAGCACAGTTCCAGGTGCAAAGTTTGACGTGGCCGTACGCGTTGAACAAGCGTGCACGACAGCTGAATTTGAAACTCTTAACTCGCACACGAACAGAGAATATCCCTGCAAAGTTTCAGCTTTCTATCTTGTCTAGTTCTCAAAATCGTTTCCGCCAATGAAATTGGCATAGTTTTTTGCGGAAGCGGGGACGAGACGGGGACCGGGGTGAGGAGGAGGAGGAGGGGGAAGGGACGTACGCAAAATCTACGCGCGTATGAGGGAAGATTTTAAAATGGAAGGGTGACAAACAGAGTGGGAATATGTTCCCAAAATTTCAGCCTTCCAGTTTTTCCTGCTTGCTGAGTTGAAAGTGGGTACAAAGTTTAGTCGCTTCCGAAAACATAAACACACACACACACACGGACGATCTCTCGACAATGTCCGTTCCTGCTCCCTGTAACAGCGCTACAGCGCTGCATAGCAAAAACGCATAAAAATGAACACAGCTACAGCCACAATTAATAACATTACAACCATAAAATTTTGAAATGAAGGTAGACGTGCTAGAAATCCTCATCAAGGACCTCCAAAAATCCAATGCCTTATCCACTCCCTCCAAATAATTATGAACAAGGTTAAGCTGGCATTCAAAGGTTTGAGGAGCTGCAGCAACCGAGCTTGAAAAGATCATAAATCATGAATTCCCCAAAATGAAAAAAAAAAAA